GATCTTACATACCTCAATTATAACTCCTAGAGACTTGGTGGCCTCCTTACAGGAAATATCGCGCTCTTTGTCCAAAAATAACCTTCATTTACCTACATATCTTCCATATGTAGCACGATACCTGGATATAATTGATTTAGAAGCTTATCAATCAGAAGGTAAAATTGTCTTTATTCTTAGAATACTGCTGATCGAACCTGAAATATACACTCTTTATCACATCTACCCTATCTCAATTTTGGATAATCGAACAGGTTTTCATCATATTTTACCAATAACTCAAAAATATATCGCGAGAGATGACGATTCTTTATTGTACATATTACTCCAAAGCCTGGATCACTGCAAACCTCTTGATAATAACACAGGATATGTTCTGACCTTCTACAATACCCAATAGACAGTGATGCCATTTGCGAAGCCCAACTCCTGAAGTCAACAAGAACACTTCCCAAGACTTGCCAAACCTCAATCTTACTCGCTAGTGACTACAACGTGCAAGAACTAGACACAAACAACTGGCTCATAACATTATCATCGTCCCTTCCAATCACTATCAGATGTGATGGCAAAAACAGTGTGACAGAAACAATCAACACTAACACAGTGCTCAAGCTCCAACCAACCTGCAATGCCTTTGTAGGAAACTCCAGAATTCATGCTAGGAATCTAGCAGAAAAATACAGAAACGTTACCTATAAAAGCCATCCAGTGGAAATTCCCTATGATTGCTGCAAACACCTGCCTGTGGATCTACACCATTTCAACCTCAATTTCGGAAAAAGTAACTTTTATTTAGGAAAATGTAAAGTCTTTTTCGGAAAAAGTAAAATCAATTTCAGAAAAAGTAAAGTTAATTTCGGAAAAAGTAAATTCAAATTCGGAAAAAGTAAATTCAAATTCGGAAAAAGTAAATTCTAATTCAGAAAATTACATCCAATTACGGAGAAAGTGATGTTATTTTTTAGAATAATTTGAATTGATGAAAAGTAAATTTAGCAGTGACTATAAACCTCCAGTCAGTGTACTTAACTTTAATTAGGTTCTATGAACATATGCCCTAAGATGCTCCCTGCAGAAGTTACAGCGCTTCAAACGGTAGATGAAAATAATGGATTTTATTTATTTTCAAGAACAAAGGCAAACTACACCATTTCAACCTCAATTTCGGAAAAAGTAACTTTTATTTAGGAAAATGTCAAGTCATTTCCGGAAAAACTCAAATCAATTTCAGAAAAAGTAATGGTTATTTCGGAAAAAGTAAAGTTAATTTCGGAAAAAGGAAATTCAAATTCGGAAAATGTAAATTCATTCATAGCTTACTTTTGCCGAATTTGAATTTACTTTTTCCGAATTTGAATTTACTTCTTCCGAAATTAACTTTACTTTTTCTGAAATTAATTTGACTTTTTCCGTAAATGATTTGACATTTTCCTAAATAAAAGTTACTTTTTCCGAAATTAATGTTGAAATGGTGTAGCCATTTCAACCTCAATTTCGGAAAAAGTAACTTTTATTTAGGAAAATGTAAAGTCATTTTCGGAAAAAGTCAAATCAATTTCAGAAAAAGTAAAGTTAATTTCGGAAAAAGTAAATTCAAATTCGGAAAAAGTAAATTCAAATTCGGAAAAAGTAAATTCAAATTCGGAAAAACTACATTCAATTACAGAGAAAGTAATGTTATTTTTTAGAATAATTCGAATTGATAAAAAGTAAATTTAGCAGTGACTATAAACCTCCAGTCGAACCCGTCCGGACGGGCTGCATCTAAACATTCGGGTATAGGATTCGGCACCTAAGCATATTTCATTGGTCCGTTTGAATTTGGACCGCCAATTAATGAGGAGTGCCGAAATCCGTACTTGAATGTTGAACGGTGCTGAGCCTCAGGTCGGAATGTTACTCCGTTAGCGCGGCACAAAATCAACAAACAAACTTTATTTACTTTTTGTTACACATTTATTTTATTTCAACGATACATTTCAAAAAATCTTGGACAATAATTTGCAGTGGCGGACCCAGGGGGGGATTATAAATACCTGAAACCTGGCAAATTAGAATAGAAAATTTTGGAAATAAATACCCTAATATATTTATCTTTTTTTTTGGTATCTGTGGTGCTTAGTTTAATTAAAATATCAATTGAAGCCAGGCAACAGCAGTTTTTGGATTTTCCTTTCTTATTATTTCTTTGATCCACTTTTTTATAAGCACTATGATGGCATACAAAAACATATCTAAAAAATGTATTTTCCAAAGTCTATTCGCATCCAAGAAGATTCTACGTCATTGAATTGACATTGAACACAAACCTGCATTTGAATCTGTTATAATTATTTTTCGCTGACTTCACATTCCAATCCGTGTATGTTATATCACTATACTCTTCTATCCATTGCTTTATATCGTTTTTCTCCAAATTGTTGGCTCGGTAAATTTGCTCACCACATTGAAAGTGTTTAAATGATCCAGGCAAACTCATCTTGCATGTTTAAGCACAAGAACACATGAAGCAACGGCAAAATAAACCGCATCCGCCACAAAATTGTAGCTAAGAGGAACACGAAGGAGGTGGACAGCTGATTAAATATAAAAACCGCGCCAAACGCATGGCAACATTCGGACCTGATACTCAGCACTGTTTAACATTTTGACCTTAGATTCGGCACTCCACATGGCTGTTGCTAATGGACCATTCTGACCTGAGGCTCAGCACCGTTCAACATTCAAGTACGGATTTCAGCACTCCGCATCAATTGGCGGTCCGAATTCAAACGGACCAATGAGATATGCCTAGGTGCCGAATCCTATACCGGAATGTTTAGATGCGGACGGGCTCGATTCCAATCAGTGTACTTTAATTAGGTTCAACATATATTGGTTCTATGTATATTATTTTGTAGGTCTGATGATGCTCATATGAGCGAAACACATGTCACTATTAAGAGAATGAAATAATAAACAATCTGTAGACTTGGTAATTTTTTTCTTTTTTTTATTATTTAAAAATCGAGTCTCTTTGAGAAATATGGACAAATTTTTTGCTTTTCTAAGTAGATAAATGACTCAATCAATTCAAATTAGTCTATAAAAAATAACATTACTTTCTCCGTAATTGAATGTATTTTTCCGAATTTGAATTTACTTTTTCCGAATTTGAATTTACTTTTTCCGAAATTAACTTTACTTTTTCTGAAATTTATTTGACTTTTTCCGAAAATGATTTTACATTTTCCTAAATAAAAGTTACTTTTTCCGAAATTGAGGTTGAAATGGTGTATTTTCCTTGAAATTTGGTATTCTTGCATACATTTGGATGCCACAGCGAATGGCGAATGGTGATAGTAAAAAAAGTCGCAACAGTTCTGAAAGAGTATATAGTTTCCATAATCACCCCTCGAAGTCCGGTACACTATTTTTTTCGCACCCTGTAAACCTCGAGTCAAACCGGTACCCTGATGGGTTCGATTCCAACCAAGACCTGTGTACTTTGTACTTTAATTAGATTCTCTATATTATTTTTTAGGTCTGATGATGCTCGTATGAACGAAACACATGTCACTATCGAGTTATAATATGGACAAATTTTCTGATTTTCTAAATAGATAAATGACTCAATCGATTCAAATTATCCTATAAAAAATAGCATTACTTCTCCGTAATTGAATGTACTTTTTCCGAATTTGAATCCATTTTTCCGAATTTAAATTTACTTTTTCCGAATTTGAATTTACTTTTTCCGAAATTAACTTTACTTATTCTGAAATTGGTTTGACTTTTTCCGAAAATGACTTTACATTTTCCTAAATAAAAGTTACTTTTTCCGAAATTGAGGTTGAAATGGTGTACATGTGCCAGATTTGAAACCACTCAGACTATCTAAAATCAACATCGATCGATGATCTAAACGTGGCACAGCATAGACTAAACCAATTTTCCAATGAATTGGATAAACTGATCCAAGAACCATTCCTATCAAGACACAGCCAATGGTTCACCTACTTCATTATCGTACTAATAGCAGCTCTTGTAATCATTTACATTTGTTGTAAGTGTCGACGAAAGGCACCTCCCAAACCTAGCCCTATCGACGAAGTCGAACCACAACCGCCGAAGTCTCATTCACGTCTTCAAATAGGCAACAGCCTTAGAAAGCTTTTACCGAAACGAAGTAACACCGTTCATGCAAATCTACCCTCAGAACAAGAGATGACCAGTCTACACAACAACCCAGTTGGTATTTGAAAAAAATTGTTGCAAAGCACCAACTTTTTACTTAATGGGGGAGCTGTTATATGGATTTCACGACTACATTGACCTCAAGACGCGTTTCATCACCATAGTGGTACAAAGTATCGCAAAGTCTAGACGCTACTTCAGTAAGTTATCCTGTGAGAACATGTCACGCCAAGAACTCTGGTCCATGGTCGCAACGCTCTCATAGAAACAGCAGAATCAACATATTTTAAATTATAAAAGATCCTGTCTCTTTTAAGCGTCACTATTCGTCATTATTTAGTATAGTTGAGTTGATGTCAGATTTTATTTGTAACTTGTATTTTAATAGTTATTTATGATATAAGTGTTAAAAGTACATTTTTAAGGCACGCATGTGAAAGTTTTTCACATAAGTGCCTTAAAAATACTTTTAACACAAATATCATACAATATTTTTTGTACAAACGGCAATAAAAAGCAAAAACCAGTAACAAATTGGATTTTTAAATGAATAATAAATTGAAAGCATCTTTCCCTTTCCTACATAAAATTATTAAATTTGACATTTGTCAAAAATTCCAAACAACCAGCACCTTGTTTTACAGGTAATGAAATGTCTTGTCAGTTTCTTAAAAGTCTGTCGTGGTCAGTAATGCTTTTTGCTAAAAAAGCAAGAAAATACAGAAGAAAAAGAGGGTTTCATCTATCACTCGAAAAATATAGATGAGGCGGCCAATCGGGCTAATTTAGTTGTTCAAATTTCACCATTAATGTAAATAACTAAAAATACAAACTTTTTTTGACGTTCGCTCTCAAAATTTGATGTTTCATTTTTAACACTAGTGCTATAGACTTTATGGCACTAGTGCAATAAAGTAACATTTTTAATGCTTCGAGGGGGTGTTCAAAATTGCATTTTTAACACGTTTGTAGAAAAAATAAATTAATGTTTTTTAAAAAGTGATTTCAAGAGTTTTTGAGATAACATATCTACCAGTCTACACCTGTAAATTCAAAGTCAAGTTTGAAACATCTATCAAAATTTGGTAAGTTTTACTGACTGCAGCGAAAAAAAAGTTTATGAAATGATTTTTCTAGGAGATGCTTATATTGGATGTGGATAGCTGGTGTGCTTTTATTTGAATATTTTCAGAAGTCACACGTCAGATAACGTAAAACTGTGTAGGAAGATTGTTTCAAGAATGAAAAAAAATTATCCGACTTCCGCTCAAAGAACCAATCCCTCAGATGAGCACGACGAGACAGCATCGCCTTCAAATCCAAGACCCCCAATTGTTCACCAACCTACAAGGAGACCAATCCAAAATTTGAATCCACGAACTTACAGAGGTAAAAACGCAAAGATAAAAAAAAAATTATGTCACTCTCATTGACCTCCTCAGTAGTAGTTTTTCATGCCTTGTGCTTATCTGATCACATTTTCTTTCTTCCATTATTTCATTTACTTTGAGCTCTCGCATGCCTATCTTGGTCTTCAACCTTATAATTTGAGATGTCAGCTCTAATTTTGTTTTAGTGGCAGAGTTTTCTTTGAATTTTTGAAATATGTTCTTTTTCCTGAAGTCTTAAGTAGACATTGTCCTTGGCCGTTCCTATTTGCTACATTTTATGATAATAGGTTGATTGTGGATTTGCAAGGCAAGACAAGGTTCAAGAACACACAACAGTTTGCCATTATTACTTAGTAGTAAGTACTAATGTAAGCTCAACAACTAAAATTCTGGGGAGTGATTTGTAGTATATTTTTTCTTACTCTCAAGTTCCATAACATGAAATTACTTTATTTATATAGGTATAAATAATATAATTAATTCTTCTAGATTTTGATTTTGGTTGGATGCCACTGCCTAAAAACATTCAAAATTGCCCTGCAGGATTGGAATACCTTGCCACCATTGATCAACTACTAGTGCGTCAAGAACTTGAATTTTTAGAAAGTAAGTTATTAGGATATTTCAATACCTGATTTCTGAAAATACTTTGTATTTCCAGTTGTAACTGGGATAGAAACTGAAAACAGATATACGATCAAAAACGCTACAGGCCAAAAAATATACTATGCCCAGGAAGAAAGTAATATTTGTAACAGATTATGTTGCTATAATAATAGAGAATTCAACATGCATATATTTGACCAGTTCGGATACGCAGTTATTAGACTCTATAGACCTTGGCTTTGCTGTCTTCAAGTAAAGAATAATAATACACTAATTGGACAAGAAAATTAATAAAAGTCTATTCACTATTTTGATTTCATCCTTATGACTTGGCCAATAGACTTTTTTTCCCACATTATCCTAAGCTCGGAAAATAATTTGTAATCTTTAATCTTTGTAGAGCCTGGCCGTATTTTCTCCTCCAAATAACTTTATAGGCGCAATAGAGCAAAAATGTCCTACGTGTATTCCCATTTTTGAAGTCAAAGATGTGACTGGTATTACTGTGCTAAGAATTGAAGGGCCATGCTGTACTTCGAGTTGTTTCAATGATGTTGATTTTAAAATTGTGACTGGCGATGGGAGACAGCAGATCGGTGTAATAACCAAACAGTGGTCTGGTTTGGCGAGGGAGCTGTTTACTGATGCAGATTATTTTGGAATTAGGTTTCCCATGGATTTAGATGTTGCAATGAAGGTGGTCATGTTGGGAGCTTGTTTTCTGATTGTAAGTACCTATACCTACAAATACATAAGATGTTTTTATCAATTAGTAAAACTATTATTTGCAATAAATGTGTAATTATTTCAAAGATAATTACTTTCCAGCTTTAATTGAATATATTTTCCAGGATTTCATGTACTTTGAAAATGAACGGCCTACTCCTGTCTATCCATATGCTTATACATAGTACTGCACAAGCTGTCAGCTTTTCGATGATATTGTTTTGAATAAATCATATTATGAAAATATGACACATGAAACTTTGTAATAAAAAATAAACATGCAATTATCGTTGATTATTAACCAAATTTAAAAAATAAAACCAAAACGTATTAAGCATTTTATTGCACATGAAAAAATCTTGAGATTCATAAATATCTTCTCAACAAAGTGGAAAATTATTCAATAATCTTAGCTAGGTAATCGATTTTTGAAGTGGCCCCGCTTGAGGATTTTAACGCATTTAGGCAAAGGAACATGGTTATTTCAAAAATTGTCAAATAAAAATTATAGTTAAAATATCCTAATTATTTGAAGCAATACAGCTCAAATTAATACGCTAATTAAATTTTTCATGTAAAATGTCAATTTATCAGGTAAATCTCACTCGAAACTTTCTGATGATCAATCATTTCAATCGTTATGTTCACCAGTACTCAGCAGCTAACTTGAAGTTGGTAAGCGTACATTTTTTCCGCTTAGAGAAATCGGTAGCAGCTGACAAAAAGCGGCTTTTACTGAGTGCCGCTGAACACGATTGTTGTCCCAACTACCTCTGGTGAACGTACCCATATCTCATTTTTATTGTAATGTTGATTGTAATATTAAAAAAAAATTATTACAAAAAGAAATTGGAAGAGCTCTAGCTAAATTTTTGATTATTTTTGTGCGAACTGCCGAACTACTAACTATGAATACATTACTTAACAATAATTATCATACATACATATCACATATAATATGACAGTGAAGAATACAACATAGTTTTATAAACGACACAAATGGTCTAGTTGGTTTCTCAATGGTATTTCTGTTCATTATATGAATTCAAAATATTTTCACACTCCTTCGTAAAACACATTGATTTGGTGGAGGAAATTTTTACTGTACATACCAGTAAATCTCTGGATAAGTTAAAATGTTTGTATATTAATATTTTAAAATTTAAAAATAATTGTAACAGTTGCAAAGTCATATGAACTATCAGAAAAACCATTTAGACACTACTTATTATTCGTTCACAATCCGATGTCCACTGGTACAGGTAAAATGTATCACCTTTCAATGCTATTTGATAGGGGAAGGTGATAAATTTACCTGCACCTTTGGACATCGGATTGTGAACAGAATTTAAATCAGTACCAGAGTAAAGAGATGAAGAAAAGTGGAAAAAGTGTAATACATAACTTGGAACATAGTGCTCTTGGACTTGGTCCATGACTGCACTTACATCCCTTAGGTAATCTAGATAACTATAGTTACGAAGCAATTAAATTAAAAATGTTTCTAAAATAAGTCAAATAGGCTGAACTAAAACACTTTGTGACAATAATATGTCGAATGAAATGATGTATTACTTTAGTGGGACTTGAAACTGAATTTATTTCGTTTTTTGATTATAGTCAATTTTAGCATTTTCCTAGATTGTAATAATGTAATGCATTTCAGGCAGTTATTTAACTAGGAATCTGTGGATGGATCTCAAAATGCAATTTCAAAATATTGTTTCTAATACCAAATACTAAGAGTATTTTGTCCTTCGAAAAAACTAAAGCCTGTTTCAGAGGGCCACACGAAAGTTTCAGTAGATCATTATCTACATACAAACAAACATTGCATCTCAATCACACACAATATAAAAATGTTTATGCTAGCTAAATCTAAAAACTAAAAATGTGGAATGTTATATTTTATGAAAAACTATCAAATAACGATCAGTCTGGGAATATTCTCATATTCAAAGAACATACTATGTGCTGTCTTCAAACAGCTGGAATTTCCAAATCAACGTTTTTCAATAGGCGATTTTAAGTGGATCTGACTGTCTTAATAATTCGAGTGTTATTCAGATCAATTCACTTTGACGACAATCTGTCCACTAGAATTCCAACTTAGAAAAAAAGATATTCCTTTTTTTTTGACAAATATCTACCTATCTACTTAGAGGCACTGATAATGTTTTCTTATGATTATTAAGCACATATTTCTTGTATCTTTATCAATCTATACAAGGGTTTAAACGCAATCTAAATGCCACTACATTTTACACAAATAGGAGTAAAATCAATATTAGCGCATTTATACTCAGGATACCCTGTAAATATAATTTATAATACTAATAACAACTAGTTTTTCTTTTTGGAACACTGCTCACAACTCATGTTTTGGTTTGGCCTTATTTTAAAATGTAGAACAAACATTGAACAAATAATTTTAAAACTAAATGACATATGTATTATTTATTCATTCAATTCGCCTCAAATTTTTAAATTATTATTTTTTTAAATTTGAAAAAGTCTGTGTTGCTATTCCAATAAGTATAAGCTTATATAAACAAAACATGATTTATTAAAAAGTAAAATTTTGATCCATTCAAATATAAGGCCAAACCCAATAAGATTAAACTCACTCGTATTTTAAGGAAGCCAATTTTGTAAAAAATATTAATTAGCGCCTTCGCATCTCATCTGCACTAAATTATGATTGCATTATTTTGTTTTATAGTCGAGTATTCCTAAATATAATCTACTCTTTGACATTTTGACAAAAATATTCGATATGTTTTTCTATTGCAGCCCATATTGTCTTATTATAAAATAAAGTCTAATAAGTAGCTGTATCTATTAACTGAAAAATATTGTTGCTGAACATTATTATAATTATTTGCACTGAATACTAAGAAACATTAGCTTGAAAATTTAGTTGCAATTATTGTTTTTTATTGGAAAAAAACTCCATATTTAGTCTCCAAAAAAAACTTGTACAAAATGTATTATGCGCGTTATAAGTTTTGTGGTTGTACAACAGTGTTGTTGTTAAGGCGAATTGGGGTTTCATTGTTGGAATTTTCATCTGGCGAGATGTCGTTTCGGTGGCTTGGGCCTTCAAATCCGGGATTCAAAATTATATTTGGGACTAGTTCTATTATTTCCGGCTCATCTTCGTCTGTAAGATAATAAAAGCCAAATGAGAATAGATTTAATAAATAGATACAAGAACAAATGATCATGAATACATATTTTATAAATCATGAAATCGTACTTACCAAAATATGGCTTTCTGCACTCTTGGTAGAGTAATACACAAGTCCCAATTCCAAGCAGAATCAAAGTTCCCATGACTACTCCAACCGCGGCCGCCCACCATCTAGTGTCGAACTTATCAGCCCCTTTCAACAAATGTCTGGCTAATTCTTTTCGTGAAAAAAAGAGGAAATTGAGGGAAACACCAAAAAGAGGGAGATAGAAGAGATAGGCGGTGGCGAGAGGCTTTCTGGATTAGCTAGCTACAAGCTACAGGATGCAGGGCAGCAGCGAAGAGGCTCGTGCATATTGCGGCAGGAATAATAACCACCAAAAATGTGTATCTTTTTTAGACCATGACCAGATTATTTTAATAGCTCAAGATACATACACATTGCGCTCTTTTTCCGAGTTAGCCTAATGATGAAGTTGAATTGGTTAAATGTAATTTAATATGAACAGCCTGAATGATATTCTTAGTGAATAGCCATAACATAAGCCAAAATAACTTTTACTGCAATATGCCTCCAGCAATAAGCAAACTAATCACAATATCAATACCACGGTAAAATAATAAAACTCTTCATACCTATTTCTGGATATTGACCTCTTGTGGTTGCTAACACGTTGGAAATAGAACTTTTTCCTAGTTGATTTGTAGCCCACATTCGAAACTCATACGTCGTATTCGGTCTCAAGCTATAAACTTCAAGTTGCCTCTACAGAAAACATATTTTATCATTAATCATAATTCTGGTTTTATGAAGGCATTGAAAAAATCCAATAGGAAATATAATATTACAGGGGGTTCAAGCAAAATAAATGGTGCAATGTCATTGTCAGCAAATAATATAATAAGCAGCCACACAACTATCTTATGATTCACCTTTTAATTTTAATCATTATAATTTAAATCATATTTTGGTAAAAACAATTTAATTGGTAATAGGAGAATTTTTATTATGCTGAGTGAAACAGTAAACAAGAATATTTCAGTTCTTCGAAGGTCTGTTTCCACAGAAATTACAAACCAGTCAGAGCGTTTTTGATTCATCCAAATCATCAACAACCAGTTTCCTGACTCTGACTAGTTTGTGATTTCTGTGGAAACAGACCTCAAGTCAACCTAAATACTCTTCAAAAATAGTTACCTGGGAGCTATTTCAAAATTTTTAAAGCAAACAAATCACAAGCTATTTGGATTAGTTTGCAAACTGCTTTTATTGTATTGTCTATAATATGATATTTTATGAAAATAACAAGTTTATCCAGCATTCTAGCTTCAAAGCGAAAACAAAATAATTAAAATAAGTAAATAAAAAATTGATAAGAAATCAGCACAAAGCAAGCAGGACTCTTAATGGCCCCATGCAAGACTTACTGAATTCGGCATGATGTGATTGGGCGAAATAGGTATCCAACTATCGTTAGTAAACGCCAACCGGTATTGGGCAGTGAAATATATAATAGGATACCCACCAGTGCCGTTAACTTCCCAACATACTAGAACTAATATCGTACTAGGTTTTATTGAAACTATTAATGGTGGCGGGGGCGCTATAAAAAATAAACATTTTTTTTTTGTTATCTACCATTTTAATAGTTCTAAGTCTAAATAAATACTAAAGTATTCTTAACAACGTTTTTAGCTTGAAGTACTGCTGAAGGAAAGATTTTGCAGAAACTCGTCTGGATTGACTATATAAATCTCTCGACAGTTATGTAACACTTCCCTAATGGTATCTAATATACTATTTTCTGCAGCAGAACAAACTATACTTTAAATTAATGGTGACAACTGGTTGGTTTCCAAACTATAAGGGGCAAAAGGTATTCACCAAGATATTTTTAGGAAATTGAAGGTATTTCAAACTAATGTAATTATTCTCCGTTATCAAACATAATGGTTTGATTGCTAAACTTTTAAATTGAACATATACAATTCCATTGGTCAAATCATATAAAAATAGCTTACTTCTCACTGTAACATTGACTTTTCCCTTCAGATCCTTGACGTCATTCTCTCGGCTACAGCTATAAATACCAGAATCACTTCTATCAGCTTCCATCAAAAATAGAGAGCCACTTTGTAAGACGTGCATGTTCATATTTGTGCCTTGTTTCTTGCCCTCCCGTTCCCACATTACATCTCTTGTATAATTTAAAGGACATTTTATTGTTACGTTTTTTCCTATGTCTACTGATACTCGCTTAAAGCTAGCAACTAGAAGAAAAAAAAACACACTATTGGATCCTTGTGATAATATAACAAAGTACATAATATGTGAATCAATTTGCAGTAAATAAGTATGTCTGATACAGTAAAAAACAATTCAGAATACCCGAGGGGCGGTTAACTGGCCAAAATCGGTGTACAAGTTGGTCAAAATCCCAGAAAATCTCATAAGATCTACTTAAAATCCCTAAAAATCGTCAAAATCCTTAAAAATTCAACAAAAGTCTACAAAATCTCTTGAAATCGCATAAAATCCTACAAAATCTCACAAAATTTTATAAAATCATTAACATTCCTAAAAAAAAAATTTTTTTTAAAAATTCCGAAGAATTCTTTGGAATCCCCAAAAATCTGTTGAAATTTCTAAGAATCCTTTAGAATCTCTAAAAACTTTTCAAAAACCCCTAAAATGCTGTAAAATCATGTGAAGATTTTCAAAATCCTCAAAATCCTACAAAATCAATAAAGATTTAAAATGTGTACACATTTTATGGAGTTAACTAAATCTTGGAGCGGTTAATTGGTCAAAATCTGTGTACAAGTTGGTCAAAATCCCAGAAAAACTCGTAAGATATACTTAAAATCCCTGGAAATCTTTAAAATCTTTAAATCTCTAACCAAATATTATTAGAACAAAAAAAAAACCGCCAAAATCTTAAAAAAACACTGATATTCCTAAAAAAATCCGTTAAAATCTCTACAAATCCTTTAAAATTTCTAAAAACCCTTTTAAATTCTGAAGAATAGGTACCTACTCCAAAATCACCTAAAATCTTACAAATCTGAAATCTTTTAAAATCTTGTAAAATCATGTGAAGATTTTCAAAATTCTACAAAAATTTAAAATCTGTGTACAGGGTGGCCCATTTTCGATGTTTTAATAGGCTATATCGAAAACCAGCAGATATCAAAAATCTTGGAGCACATTCTCGAGCTCTTTTTGTGGGAAAATAACAATGGCGAAAACAAATCACGGGCACTTTTCAAATTTTGTCCAATTTAAAAAGACTCTCTAATTTCCTTATTATTCAAGATATCCAAAAACGAAAAATACTTTCTATAGGCAGTTTTTCAAGGAGAATCTAGTAGCATGACCAATTTTTCTCCAGATGCCTCCGATTTTGGAATATTGACCAAAGTTGTATTTTTAAATGGGACACCCCGTATATTATTTCTTTATTGAATGGCTCTTTGTGAGCTGATTTCAATGATATCAGGTTTTAAACCTTTATCTTCTATAGTTATGGAGAAAAAAAAATTAATTCCGTTTTTCCATAAGAAACAATGAGCTAGAGAGAGATAAGTCATTAAATAAATTATGTGTTGCCTATTTATAACCCCCGATTCAAAGTTAAAATTAAAAAAAAATTAGCTGAACTGAAAAATTAAATTAAGAATTAAGAAATTTGTAACCGATTCATAGTTCAACTATCTCTTTCTAACTCATTGTTTCTTATGGAAAAAACAGAATTTATTTGTTTTCTCCAAAACTATTGAAGGTAAAGGTATAAAACCTTATATCATTGAAATCAGTTCAGAAAGAGCTATTCAATGAAAAAATAATATACAGGGTAACCCATTTAAAAAAATACAACTTTGGTCAATATTCCAAAATCAGTGGCATCTGGGAAAAAATTGGTCATGCCACTGGATTCTACTTGAAAAACTGCCTATAGAAAGTATTTTTCGTTTTTGGATATCTTAAATAATAAGGAAATTAGAGACTCTTTTAAAATTGGAAAAAATTTGAAAAGTGCCCTGTATTTCCTAAACGCATCAAGTTAGCTGGGATTTGTCTTCGCCATTGTTATTTTCTCAAAAAAAGAGCTCGAGAATATGCTCCCAGATTTTTGATATCTCTGCTGGTTTTTGATATAGCCCATTAAAACATCGAAAATGGGCCACCCGTTCATATTTTAAGGAGTTAATCATCCCTCGAGAATACCCTATATTTAGGTATATTCGAGGGTATATTACAAACTTTCTAAGATGGGTGGCTTCATTATTAGACTACCACCTAATACCGGCTATAGCTTCTCTATATAAATAAATAAATAAATTTATTCAGAGAAATAACAATAGGTTTACAATAAGTTAAATAAATATCACATTACAATTTGAGCTACTCAAATAAGTTATTGCACCTAGATTACAAGCAATCTGTATGTGCAAAAATCTAAGGGGTTAAATTAGCTTTTTATTATATAATGTAGGTACGTGGAGTAAATTATTTTACAACCTGCATGTACTTAAATGAAAAAAATATTAAGGGAGTTAGAAATTTTACAATAAAAAACAAAACAAGCAAAAAATTCTTAAGCACTCAACACTGAGAATTAAAGAAGTCTAAGAAATGCTTTATAGTTACTGTAGATGATTGGCTTGCATTTTTTGGCAAATGCACCATATTTAGAGATATTCCTGATGTTAATTGGTAAAGAATTGTACAATTTAGGAGCTAAGCTCGCAATACATCTCTGGTTACCATCTTTTCTGTAAAAAGGAACAATTAAGTTCTGATTGGATATTTGTCTAGTTTGGTATGTATGGTCAACTTTTGTTTGTAAGTCCTTGTTTTTGTACAGAAAAAGACAAATGTTATAAAAATATAACATTCTAATGTTAAGTATTTTGTCGTCGTAAAGCTGTTCGGTAGGAAATCGTTTTTCTTTTTGAAATATGACTTTCAAAATATAATTCTGTACAACATTCAGAGGTTCGAGGGAGCTTATGTACAGACCACCCCACACAATTATAGCATACTGTAGAATAGACTCAACCAAAGCTTTATAGATAGATGTAAGTAGTTTTTTGTTCATAAATTTACGAAGCTCATAAAACTTGAAAATTAGTCTTCTCGTTTTAACAACCAAACTATTAACATGATTAGATCATTTCAAATTTTTGTCAACTATGACACCCAAGTATTTAATGTTGCTAACTTCATTAATTTTGAGTCCTGCTCTTGGCAGTAGTAAAAAGTTGAAATTTGGTCTGTTGACATCAGTAAGAGAAAATGCGATGTATTTTGATTTATCTTAATATGGGGTGAAGGCATCATGGTGAACCATTTTACCCATGCCAGACGAAGCCCAAGGACACGGGCAAATTAGCCAACAATAGAGCCATACCAGACTCTACAAGTAGTGAGGAGAAACTCTCTGTGCTACACCTTAATACCCAATCCATCCGAGACATCACAGATGAACTGGAAGCATTTATCGTGGATAAAGCCATTGGTATAATGTGTGTAACTGAGCATTTTTTGAAGGATGATGAAATAAACTCTCTGAGGATTGGCAACTTGGAAGTGGCAGCATCATTCTGCCGGAAAATGTATACAAGAGGAGGAACAGCAGTCTTACTTGAAAAGGGCAGTAGTTATAAAGAGTGGACAGATCTAAGGGAGCTGAGTGTGGAAAAATGTATTGAAGTTTGTGGAGTAAGATCATATAAATACAACATAGTAATACTATCAGTATATAGATCTCCTGGGGGAGATTTTGACATCTTTTTAAACAATCTTGATAAAGTTTTAAATAAATTGGATACACATAATAAGATAGTTCTTGCAGGTGATTTTAATGTGAAATTCTGTACAAATGAAAAAACATGTAGAGAGTTAAATGACATGCTGCAGTCGTATGGATTAGCCCAGACGGTTTTTGAACCTACCCGCGGTAACAACTGCCTGGATAATATTTTTATAAATTTTTCAGAAACTGAATACCTTGCTTGCATTGTAAAGCCAGGCAAATCAGATCACGATGGGCAACTTGTCTCATTAAATTGTCCTCAACAAAGTAATCAAAAATACTCAAAAAAGATTTGTCAGCCCATAACACAGGTAGGAAAAAACACATTCTATCAAAAAATTTCTGAAATTGATTTTAGATTTATAGACTTTCCTACTTCTGTAGAGGTAAAGTTTCAGAACCTTGTGCAGTTAATTGAGTTGGCATATAATGAGTCGTTCCCAAAAAAAACATATAAAGTAAAGGAAAATCAAACAAATAACATTGATTGGTTTAATAATGACCTAAAAAATATGAGAGAACACCTTCAGTACCTAAATGACATCTTTAAACTCCATCCAACAAATCAGCTTAAGGAATATATAAAAAATCTCCAACAAAGCTACAAAAAAGCTATAAAAAAGGCCAAAATTCAGTGCAATGAAACTAAAATAAAAAACTCTTCCAACCCAATTAGATGCATGTGGGAAATAATTAATGAATATCGTGGTAAAACAAAGCCTTCAAAAAATGACCAAACAACATTGACTGCACAAGATTTTAACAATTTTTTTGTAAGCATAGCTGTAGATCTACAGAACAAAATAGAAGAAGAAGATTTAGACCCCATTTTGAATTTACTTAAAATTAATGCAAATAATCAATCCTTTTCCTTTAAGGAACTCTCATTTAACGAAGTACGTGATGTGATTGACCAGCTTAAAAACAAGACAAGCAAGGATATTTTCAACCTTAATATAACCCTAATAAAATCAGTCAAAAATCTCCTAATAACACCTCTTACAAAATTAATAAATCATTGCATTAAAGAGAAAACCTTTCCAAATTGTCTAAAAACAGCGAAAGTAATTCCAATATTTAAAAAAGGAGATCCAAATGATCCAGGCAACTACAGACCGATCTCACTCCTGCCAGTTTTATCGAAGATTCTTGAAAAATGCATAGCTATACAAATATCGAGTTACCTAGAGCAAAATGACCTACTTAGTAATAGTCAGTTTGGCTTTAGGAGGGGCAAGAATACAACTTTAGCAATTTTAAAATTGGTAGAAGGTATAATGGAAGGTTTTGAGAGCTCTCAACACACAGTTACCACCTTCTGTGACCTGAGCAAGGCCTTTGACTGTGTCTCGCACGATATCCTGCTTAAAAAACTGCCTTTTTACAAATTTTCAAACGACAGTGTGGATCTAATAAAATCCTATCTGACTAAACGAACTCAGATTGTTAACT